GGAGCACTCAGTCCGTCCTTGAGCCAGAGAAAGCCTTCTCACCTGGGCGGACAGAGCTCACAGGTGGTAAGATACCTTTGGAACAGAGACACCAGGCTAACATGACCTTTCCTTCATTTTGTTTACTCCAAGATTTCCAAAACCTTTTTGGAACTCACTGGCCAAACTTTGCCATGGCAGAAGTAGGATTTGTCTTCTCCCCTCTTGGCCAAAGAGGGCAGTGACAAATTGGTACCAAATTTATAGAAGTGCTTTCAAGGTTGGAAGTACATGGTAATTTTTCTGATTTTCACTGAATTTTTAAAAAGATTTTATTTTTCTTAATGAGAAATTCTGGCTTCTCCAAGAAGGCCCTGCAAGCACAGTTTACGAATTACTGTTAGAATGGTTTCTTTAACCATTTAATGAGTTTTTCAAGTGATTGATTCCCTGCTTATTTTGATCTCTTTTCTTCTAACCCTACCTCCTCCCTTGGCTCTGGTGAGGACAGGAATTATCCTCTGCCAGCTTGTGGTGAGCTCTGGGAGCGTGGTAGCATTTTGAGGAGGAGGTGGCATCCTCAGCAAATCATGGCTCCCCCCAGCAGGCACGGTCAGGCTCGGTTTCTCCGAGGGCTTCCTCCTCCAATGAAGGACTTTTATTTTAATCAGAGAGAGACTGCAAAGTTTCTGTCCCTCCTTAGAGCAGGTTGTTCCTGTTCCTCACTCTGTGTCACCTGTGTGGAGTTCATTGCAGCTCACCTTGTGGCTCGGGGTGGGCTTCCAGGCGGGCTGAGTGGCAGAGCGCATCTCCCGCTGCCAACACCAGCACTCCAAGAGCATTAAGCGGCACGGGAGAGGCAAGAAAGGTGGTTTGGAGAGCAGGATCCTTTGCCTTAGAGACTGCAGTGGGTGGAAGGGGAGGTCAGACAGTCCTTTTCCAAGCTATGTGCCTAAATACCAGCACTCTCCTGGCGAGGGAGGAACTATAGGCGGCTACAACACTAATAGCACCCGCATTGTGAGGGGGTGTGAGGTGTGGCTAAGCAGGGCACCAGGGCCTGGCTTGTTTGTCTTCTGGCCCTGTAGCAGCATCAAACTGCATCTGATTTCACTGCCCTCTGCTTCTGAAGGGAGCAGGGAGCTCCAGGCGGTTTTCTCTTTCTCCATTCCTTGTGCTCCAAATCAAGGAGACTGCCGAGACTGAAAGAAGGTTCACTTCAATTTGTGCAAAGGAGGTGGTGTGATCTCTCTTTTGTGACCAGCATTTACAGATCACTCAGGCTGGTGTGATCTATAAAATAAATTTTAAAAAAGTTTGTTCCAAGTAAAAGTCTTGATTTGTCTTGTCTTCTTGATTTTTGTCCCTCTGGAAAACCAGGCTGAAATCCCGAGGAAGCAGGTTTGCCTGGCTCCAGATTCTTTTGCTGGCTACAAGAGGAGGCTGTGCTCATGGTGACAGCAGGGCAGGGCATGGCACAGCACAGGAGAGCTGCCCAAAACCTGCACAGCCCTGACAGGTTTTACTCCAGCCAAAATGAAGTGCACCTCAGTGGCAGAGTGGTAAAATGAGAACACGGGTGTGGTGTGAGCTGTGCTGTGTGAGATGTGAGTGGGTGTGAAGAGCAGCTCTAGCAAATCACTTGGGGCCAGCCCCACGAGAGAAACTCTGCTAAAAGATGCAGCATTAGCACAGCACTTGCAGTGCCTGCCTACCTGTGCTTCCTGGGACATGCACCTCGCTTCTTTCTGCAAATACAGTGGGACTCTCCAGGGTTTGCAAGGAGCCTTTTTCTTTCTACTCAGTTGAGCTCAGAGGGTCACAAAGGCATTTTCTGCTCTGCACAGCCCTTTCACAGGTCAGTGTTGGGCTGTGGTAGCCAGAGCTGAGGCGCACACAGCCCTTCTCCTCCTGGAGAGGGCTGGTCCCGGGCCAGCAGAGAGCAAGCCTGGCCCTAGCGTGGCCTTCTGGGAGAAGCTGCATGGGTATTCCTCACCATAAACCTTCCTCCAAGCCCAGGTTAGGCAGGCAAGGTTGTGACCCTCCTCAAGCCAGTTCAGTTTCCCATTTTTCAGCCTTTTTTATGCACCAAGTTAACTTCCTCACACTAAGGAAAATGAAGTATTTCCTTTCAGCTTGCTTTGTAGCTGATGAGTAGTTAACAGCCCATGTGAAGGAAAAGAGAAGCAGATCCCCTGAATTGGGCTTTGTGTCAGGCTTTCTCCCTGCTAACCCAGCCTCCCTTGCTGCTCCTGGGGGCCAGCTGGGCTCTGCTCACGGTAAGGCAGAGGATGGGAAGGCTTTGGGAGGTGACTGCAGAATGAGGACAGCCATGATATCACAGACTTAAGTCTAGTAGAAGTTTTTAGTCCCAAGGAATTGGAGCTTTTAGGAGAAAGTCTTGTTCTCAGCATTGTTTCAAGCAGTTTTTGCATCCTCAAGCCTGCTCAATGACAAGGTGATGACTTTGTTGATGGCCCTAGAGTTAGTACATCAGGCTGGAAAATAAGGATTTGCCATAAAACTATGTAGAAGAAGAGCTCCAGGAATAGCTTTTGTCTATCTACTAGCTGTGCATCATTCCCAACAGCAGATTCAGTTACAAAACATCCAAACCACTATGGGCAGTTTTGATATAATTTATGTCTTGGTCTTTTTGTTTTTCTTGCATAGGCATAAATTACAATCTGTTGATAAAAAATAAAAGGAACAAAACAGTGCAGCATTTGCAACAGGCTACAGCATCAAACACAAACTCCTGTCTGTAACCATCTGTTTCTGCAGGGCTAATTCATAACACGTGTGTAGGGCAAACTGAGAAGGAGGGAGAATAGAGGAGGGAAATGGAGTAAATAAGAGAACTCTGCACCCACAGCTGTTCTGCATTTCTCCTGCCTCACCAGGCTCATCTTCAGCATCAGCCCTAGGATTAAACACCCCTGGGCAGAGAAGCACATGCTCAAGCAGCAGTTTTCTGTGCCCTCTTCTTTGGCAGCTCTGGGCAGTGCTGCAGAAATGCTGCAAGCTACAATCTCGAGAGCCAGTGGCTTCTGGCACTTGGCACAGGAGCTTGGGCTGCAGCCCAGCACTGATGCTGAATTTGGGGGCTGAAAACCCACATGGAGCCTCAGCATATGTTCCTGGGGATCCTCACACAGATGGCATGGTGAGGCCTCTAAAACCAGCTAGAAAAGAGCATGAAGCCCCAGGAGGAGCCTCTCACTGGTGGCTCCAGGGAGTTTTACTTCGAACAGCAAAGATTTTCACGTCCAAAGGACAGGGCAAGCTTGCATTGTAAAGCCAAATGCTCCCTAACCCAGACACAGCAGTTAACACCCACATGGAAGGAGCAGAGATCCCACTACAACTCCATTTTCAGGGGAAGAGGTCACCTTTCCTGCCTCTCATCAGCATGCCTAATTTACCACAAAATCATTTTGTTCTTGGGCAAAGACCTTGTCTGTTCTTGCAGTCCAAGCCAGAGACCAGGGATCCAGAAGGAACATAGGAAAAGGGGTTTTCCCAGGCTCATGGTTATAGCTTTGCTCCAGGAGCCAGAGAAAGGTGACAAAAGGGAGAGCTTCTGCTCTGCTTTCTCTTTATGATTCAAATAAATACAGGAGCTGGTCTGCCAAGCCCAGAACAGGTCTAGGCATTCATAAAAGCACAGCTCCATGTGCTCAGTGCACTCATGGACAGGACTCCAAGGCAAGCGGGCAGCTGTAGACAAGTTTAAAATAACTTTGGCTGTGGCTGCCAAGAATTAAGACTAAGCTCAATATAGGAGAGAATTTATAGTCCCTGGCTCTGGCTGCAGGTCAGCTTTCTCCCTGCAGCAGGGCCTCCCAGCTCTGCAAGAGGCTCCACAGGGTAATTTTAACCTGCTGGAGACAGAACTGTGCCCTCTGAGCTTGGAGCAAAGAGAGCCCTGCAGAAGGGATGTGCTGCCACCACCCTCACCCTCCCAGGCTGGCACGGGGCTCAGCAGCTCTGCCTGATGCCCATCAGGGGATGCTGAGACACTTCTTCAGCCCCTCCTCTATGCCTACAGTGCTTCAAGCACAGACCACCAGAGGGGGAATCAATACATGATGCTCTCACAGTGTCAGGGGAAGGATGGTACCAGCAGTGGGCAGGGCTGAAACACTGACCACGAGCCCTTAAGCTTTTCTTTCAATGAAACACAACACAAACCTGGAGGCTGTTAACACCACCCAAGAACATAAGCCAAGCTGTGTGATGCAGGCCAGGAGGTGGAGGGGCCAGATGGCCCTAGCACCCCTCAGCCTGGGGAAGGTCCCTGTGCATCCTTCCTGCAAAGCTCTGCTGTGCCTCCACCCATCCCAACACTACAGGCAAGATTTACATGCCCACTGCAGAGAGAACTCCCCCTCCTGCTCCAGCCCAGTCCTCCCACAGCCAGGGCCCAGAGAACAGTGCAATGCCAGTAAGGAGAGGTAGGAGGAAAAGGGAGCCCTTCAGGAGAAAGGAGGTCAGCCTGCACAGCCATCTGCCATGGAGGCCCCGAGAGCTGAGGGAGCCCTGCAGGGGGAGGTGGCTCTGCATGCTGGCAATGGCCCTGTCCCCCCCCCAGCAGCCCTGCAGAGCCCTGGGGCAGCAGCTCCACTGCTGCCTACAGTCAAGTATACACAGATGCAGCCACGGGCAAGAGGCCACGGCCACACATTGCAGTCTCAGAGCACATCCAGAGCAGGGAGGGCAGGAATGCCTCCAGCACCCCACCAGCAGCAAGTGCACACAGAACCCCAGCTTCCAAGTCTAGCTACCAAGCCACCAACAACGTGAGGCCCATATTTTAAACAGCTCTGCTCATCTTATTCTAGCTTATCCTACTGTGTATGCTATTCTACTAAACAAAGCTCTAGCCCTCTCGACATCTAAGCCACTCATCCAAGTGGCACCATGTAACATTCTCTGGTTAAGTAAAAATTGCATGGAAAAAGTATTTTTTCCCTTTGTTACTACAAACACCCCCCCACACAAAAAAAACAACCCCAACACCCCAACTGGAAAATAGTTCCCCTCCCCACCCCTCTTTAAAAAAAAATATCAGAACAAACCCCAAAGGAAAAGCAGGCAACAGGAATTTTCAGTAGCATCACCAAGCTTAACACTGGGGAGGCAGCCAGCCAGGGAGGCCAACAGCTTCAGCAAGACCCAACTCAGCTACTGTCAGCAGGAGGGCTTGGATGGATGGATGGCAGCACCAAGGTGGGCTCTGCCACCAATGTGTGCCACGCTCCTCTCCTCCCGCTGCCCCAAACCATTAGTTTTATGTTAATACTTCATTAATACTGTCTTATTTCCTCTCTGTCAGCCCAGCATTGGAGGGCTGGAGATCTTTACCCAAACCAACACCAAGGCAAGAGAAGTGACCCTGTGTGGAGGGGACTTGGTGGCCATAATCAGTGGCTCCCACCTACTGTGGCAGCACCGAGTCAGGCACCGAGTGGTCCCACACTCCCATCTCCTGCACCCAAGCCCGCATGAAGCACATCACAAAATGACACACCCCTTTCCCAAGCCCTGGCCATGCTAGAAAGGAGTGGGACAACAGGGAAGAGGGGCAGCGCAAACCCGATACAAAGTTAGCTGAAAAAGTTAAAATGTCCCATATGCACTGAAAACGAGCCAGGCTGCGCTAGGACCCACGTGGGATGCTCTTGCCTCACCACCCCGGTCCTTGGAAGAGTGAAAGCCTCACCCCTTCAACACCAGCTCTTCTCCTCCCGCCAGGGGAGAGCTTCCTGGGGCGGCTGCTGGCACGTGCCAGGGTTTCTAGGTGCGAAGCAGTGAAGCAGCCACGTCCCCTCCTGCTGCCAGCCCGGCAGCGTCCTCATCCAGCCGGGCCGGGGTCAGAGCGCCGGCTCCCCGTGCACGCGGAAGCGGTAGATGCACGTGTACTCGGGGTGGCCCCAGTTGCTCAGCACCCGCAGCTCCACCAGCTGGTATGTGCCCATGGAGTCACCCTTGGGGAGGAGGGAAAAGAAAAACCCGAGACCTTGAGGGCTCTCTGCGGCTCAGAGACCCCAGAGGCCCCATTTTCTTCTCAGGGGTCAGGCAGTCCAGGGGCAAGGCATTTACCTCCAAGTAAAATGTTTGGATGGGGTCTCCATCGTGGTTGTAGGTGAACTGTCCAAGGAGAAGGCCCTCCTCCTCTCTTTCTTCCTTTAAGCCCTATGGAAGGGCAGGGAGGCAGAAAGGGAGAACCAGGGGTCATCAGAGAGGGAGACCAGAGGTGATGCACACATCCAGGGCAGAAGAGGGAGAGGGAGAGACAAGCGTGCTCGGCCCCCGCTCCTGCTCTTCCAGGTCAAAATAGACAAATGGGAACAGGGACCAGTGGGGAAGGATGAAGGGGGGAAGACCAAAAGTTACACCTACTCAAGCCCCTTTGTCCCCCCCAAACTGTTTCTGAAACTCAGTGCTGCCCCTCTCCCCACCAGCATTGCTTCTTCCTCTTCTTCAGGGTAAGACCAACCCCCCAGAGCACCCCACAGCCAGGGATGGGGTTTGTTAGCCATCCCTTCCAGCACCCTCCCCCTGTGCTCCCCCCGCCCCCCTCAGGTGTGGGTGAGGGCACTCACGTAGACAGCAAAGTCCTTGGGGGCACTGGGGATGGTTCCCTGCGGCGAGAGGGCTTTCGGGATGTGCTCCAGCGTCACGGCCGTGGGGCGGATAACGCCGGAGAGGCGGATGACAGCAAAGCCCTCGGAGCCACGAAACGCCCAGCAGTTCCCAGGGTTGACGTCTGGCTACGAGCATGGAAGGGAGACGCCAGCAATGTTACCACCATCAGAGTCATTCTTCTCCCACCAGCCTGGCTGCTGGCTTGGAGCAACAGCCAGAGCCCAATAAAAGCCCCAGGAGCAGCAGCCCAGCCCCCCAGTCAGCGCCCACCTGCAGGATGGCACGGGGGGACTGCGAGTGGTACCACAGGGGGATGCCAAACAAGCTCAGCAGCGCCGTCCGCATCTCGTAGGTCTCCGAGCAGCGAGTGTTGATGACACTGGCCCCTGGAATGAGGGGATGCCAGCAGGTGAGCTGCAGGCCAGCCCCTCTGGTCACCTCCCCAGGACAGCTGGCTCCTCCTGACCACCTACCTGCTGACTCGAGGGCATAGTCAACCATCCCCACCCGGTCCTCGCTGTAGCGCTTCAGGGCCTGGCCCACGATGAGATGCACTTGCTGCAGTGGGAGCAGAGAGCACAGGAGGGTGACAAACTGGGGCAGGCATCCTGCCCCCCACCCGCCTGCCCCTGCAGGGACAGAGGGTGCGAGGACCTTCCCGCAAAACAGCCACGGGACAGAACAGCCAGGGGATGAATCACCGTGGCAAAAATAAGAGAACGTGCATTTGGCTGGGAAGCCTCGTTAGAGGTTGCTAAAAATACCCCAGGGGAGAGGAGCTGTGCAGTGAAGGGGCAGCACCCAGGCACGCTGCACTCGCCTGTCCCCAGGAGGGGCTGGCCCAGAGGGAGGAGATGTAGCACCAGCCTCAACCTGACAGACCACCCAGAATCATCTGCTCGTCCCTCCTGCCCTGTCCCACAGCACTGATGGGAGCTCTCCCTGTCCAGAAAAGGAGGAGGTGGCTGGAGCATCCATCTGAAGCCAAAGCCAGCCTAAGGAGCTAGGAGCCTGCAGCACCACTTTGGGTCTAAACTTTATGGAGTGCATAAAGCTCACACAGACTATGGGGACTGCTAATCCCAGCTTGATCCCTCCCATCCACTACCTCCACAGGGAATTGCCAGCAACTGTTTCCAAAGCAAGCAGGCTCATTTTTTCCCCTTGGTGTCATTCTGCTGAAATGCTTTGCAGCAAACAACTCTGCAGAACTGCTGAAGAATGGGGATAAGCAAGATGCTCCACCCATGGAAGCCTTGATGGCACCTCTCCGACGTTCTGGGTGAAGGATGCATGAGCAGAAGCTTGGATTTTAAGACAGAAAGTGTGAATGCTGAGAATTGGTCAGAGAAGAAAGTCAGATAAACTTTCCCAGACATTCCTCTGAGAAGTTTTGAGAAAGTTCAGAGAAAGAATTAAAACAATCCTGCAGTTGGTGTTTTGAACTGGCTAATTGTAAGATGTTTACAAGAAGGGTGCTGTTCCTAATTATCCAAGGGTGTGAGGGATATTAACTAAGGACCAATCAGGTGTCCACCTTTATCATAACTCTCTATAAAAACAATTTGTTGTTTCTAATGAACTTGGCTCTTCCCTTCTGAGAAGACACAGGAGTCGTGTCCCTTTATTCACCCATCCTCAACAGAACAGCGACAAGTAAGAGCCTTGCAGGGCTGCAGGTATCAGCACCTGTGACCCCTTCCAGAGCACAAAGCAAGCAAACTGAGAAGGGAGTGGCAGAGAAGGAGTTTCAAGGGTGCTCTTGCATCCTGTGAGCCCAGGATCAATATCCCAGCTGTGGGGGCTATCCCAACGCCTCTGCCATCTGCCAGGCACACATGCCAGCCCCCTGCACACACAAAGGGGGCACAGACCCCAACCCCATGGTCACCTCATGTCCCTGGGGGTCAGGCCAGTACTCACCTCCTCTGTCACTCCTGCAGCCCCTCCTTGCCGCAGGGCCACTCCAATGCCAGCCTGAGCATCCCGTGCTGACAGTCTCCGGTCCTCCAGGACTTTTGCAAGGATCTTTTGCTCCAGAGCCCGGAGCTCTGCTTGCAAGTCTTCCCGCTGGAGGATGAAGGCAGCAGCACCATCCTGCTGGGACTGTGACAGGAACCTACTGATCCACACTGGGAACTGTGCTTCCACCTGGAACAGTGCAGAGAGAGCTCAGCCTGGAGCAGGGACCCTGCCTGCCTTTCTGCCAAACAGGCTGGGGATGGGGGACTCACATCTGCCCGCACGGTCTTCAGCTGCTCCAGTATCCCCTTCACGTGCTTCCCCATCACTTCCTGGTCTGACTTGAGGCTTGCCAGCTCCCTCCTCAGCACTGCCACCTCCTGCTCCAGCTTGCCCACCTCCTGCTGGAAGGTCCCTCGCAGGCTCTCCTGCACCGAGCTGTGCCAAGAGAAAGGTAACAAAACCTTGTGCCAATAGCCCCAGTTCCCCTCTGCAAACTGGGGGAAGAGGTTCATTCCATACCACCTATGCTCAACCCCATCTCCAGACCCAGTTTTAATCCCAGTGGCAGTGACCTCTTCTACTGCATCCCATGGGAAAGCATCCTCAGCTCACCCCTCAGCTGAGGGACCACACCGGCAGTGATGCAGAGTGGCAGTGACAAGGTCATTGCTGCCATTGCTCTTGGGGCCCTGCTGCCAGCCACAGAATGGCAGGATGGGTCAGGCTGGAACAGAGCACAGTGGGTCATTTGTCCAACCTCCCTGCTCTAGCAGGGTCAGCCCAGAGCACATGGCACAGGATTGCATCCAGACAGTTCTGGACTATCTCCAGTGAGGGAGACTCCACAACCTCTCTGGGTAATCTGCTCCAGTGTGTGGTCACTGCACAGTAAAGAAGTTCTTCCTCATATTCAGGTGGAACTTCCTGTGCATCAGTTTCTGCCCATTGACTCTTGTCCTACTGCTTGGCACACTGAGAAGAGCCTGGCTCCAACCTCTTGTCACTCTCCCTTCTGTCACTGACACTGATGAGGTCCCCTCTCAGTTGTCTCTTCTCAAGGTTGAACAGCTCCTTCAGCCTTTCCCCCTAAGAGAGATTCCCCAGTCCCTCCATCATCCCCGTGGCTCTCTGCTGGACCCACTCCAGGAGCTCCATGGCTCCCTTGTACGACTGAGGAGCCCAGAACTGGACACAGCACAGCAGAGATGGCCTCACCAGGGCTGGATAGAGGGACAAGATAAACCTCCCTCAACCTACTGACAGTGCCCTTCCTAATGCACCCTAGGATACCACTGGCCATTTTGGCCAGAAGGGCACAGTGCTGGCTCCCACAGACACCCACTTACGTATCCTCCTTTCCTTTCCCCCCCAGACTACGCCTCTTGATCTCTCCTTTGCCCCCAGCCAGGCCTGCAAATCCCTCCTGAGCCTGGCTGAGGGGAATTCACCCAACCACCTGCCTGCCCCACAGCCAGTGTTACCTCTGCCACTCCGAGTTCAGCTCCAGCAAGCGTGCCTCCATCTCCTGCCAGGAAAAGGGAAGGGGTGAGACCTGTGACACCACTGCTGAGGGTGTCCTGTCCAGGTACCACCACACCCTCCTCCGCTTACCCGGGAAGCTTGTGCCATCTTGCCCAGGCGCCCGTCCAAATCCCTCTGCACCTGGGCCCGGAGCACATCCAGCTCGCCCTGAAGGATGGGGAACAGGGTGGAATATCAGAGCCAGGTCCTGCCCACGCCCGTCTCCCTGCAGTGCCCGTGTCACCCACCTGGAGCTGGTTGGCCATGTCGGAGCGGAGGTGCTCCTTCAGCCCCGCGTCCCGGCGGCTCACCAGCCCCTCCAGCAGCGCAAGGATGTCCCCCGGGGGGGGCTCTCCCCCTGCTGTCACTGCTGCCGCCCCACGACGCAGCTCCCACCGCGACAGCTCGGCCTCCAGTGCCTCAAAGCGCTTCTCCAGCGCCTGGAAGCGAGCCAGGAGTCGGTGTCCCCCCTGCAGTTACAGAAGCAGGGTGTGATGCAGCCCCTCAGGAAAGTGCCTGCTCCACAGGACCCCTGGGAAAGGGGACCCTGACCACCCATTCTCCAGGGTCAGTGGCATCTTATTAATCTGTTGCTTCCCATGAGAAGGCAGATGGTCCCCCTGCTCCATCCCAGGGACACCCCAAGAGTGAGATGGCCACAAGCTGGGGGAGCCAGTGTGAAGCCATCATCTGCCCGGTTCTCCACCATTCCTCACACCCTGGAAGCAATTGTTGAGCCATGGATCATACTGTCCCAGCTCTCCCTGCAAGGCACTCATCCCACCTGGGCCACCATCGTGCCTTTGCTTACCTGGTCCAGCGTGGTCAGGTCCCCTGCCCCAGGAAGGTCAGAGGAGGAGGAGGAAAGCTTTCCAGCTCCCCACCACGGGAAGGAATGCAGGCTGAGTGTCGACAGCCCGTACGGGTAGAAGTACCAAGCTCCTGAGCACAGAAGGATGAGATGGTCAAAACCACAGGCTGGCAACGGGCCACAGTAGTGGACAGGGTGGACATGCAGAGGCTCAGCCATCAGCATCTCCAGGGACTACCAGGAGACACTGGCACGGGGATGCAGATGGAGCAGGTTACCAGAAGCCATGAGCACTGAGCTCCAGGCCAGCCCATCCCCCGGCCATGGCAGTGGGAGGCTCTGCACTGCCCCAGATCTCAGGGCAGCACATCAGGGAGGTGGCTCACCGTAGGCGGCAGCAGCGAGGAGCAGGAGGAGCAGCAGCAGCAGCAGGGACCTCTTCAGACGTGGGTAGCGCCTGGAGCATGGAGAAAAGAGAGGTGCCTTAGGACTGCAGCCACCTTCCATCACCTTTGGATGGGGGCCAGGGGCAAAGCAAAGACACCCACCACCCCCAAGGTGCCTCCCCTTTCCAGGGTCCTGCAGGTTTTCCCCATGCTTCCCCCATGCTGGTGTCCCCCCCAGCACACTCACCTGGAGAAGGGGACGCTGTCCAGGTGGGAAGCTGTGCCGGTGAGGCGGCGCCAGGCCCCTGCCAGCCCCGAGAACAGCCACCCCATGAACCAAACTGCCAGGAGAGAAAACAAGCCTCAGGAGGAGTCCTGACAGATGTCCCCTCCATGCCCACGGGTGGCACCACAAGGGGATAAAACCCCTCCACCCAAACAAGGGATGGCACACACAGCAGCTGGAGAGTAGAGATGCTGACTGGCAGGAACACTGCTGCTAGAAGTGCCCCTGCCAGCCCTCCACTCACCTGGGGAGGTGAACACCTGCCAGAGGAAGGAGCCCACCCGTGAGGCTGCAGTTCTCAGACCTGACCCGGAGCTACTCTGGCCTGAGTAATAGTGACCTGGAAAGGAAGCAGCAAGTCACCAATGCAGACAGCATCTCAGTGCATTGCCCACAGCAAAGGCTTTGCACTGGGGGCGGCATCTAGAGGGGACTGGCAGCACACTGGGTACAGCCAGGCCCTGGGCTGGTTCCCCTGGGGATGCCTCCCCTGCATTCCTGCCACTACAGACAGACTAGTGCATCCCTACCAGCGTAGTCGTCCTCCGAGGAGTACCCAGATGAAGACGTGTAGGTGTCGTACGTCTTGCTCTCCAGCACCCCATTGATCTTACTGGACTCGGTGTCCCCTGTGCCTCTTCTCCTCCTGGTGGAGAGCTCTCCACCTGCCCCAAAACACAGAGTTCCACTGAGAAATCACCCACCATCACTTCCACAAGGGGCAACCCAGCCAGCCAGCCTGGGCAGTTGCCCCAACACTCTCCAGTGTCCAGGGAGGTCCCGAGCTGCCCTAGGAGAGCGGGAGGGCTCACCCCAGTACGTGCTGCTGTCCAGGTCATCATCCAGCATGGAGCTGCCCAGGGCAGCAAGGCCCCGGCTGCCCCCCAGGTAGGACTCGCTCATCATGGACTCGCTATAGTAGGAGGTTTGGGTGCTGGGGCCGGGAGAGAGGCGCTTGGTGCTACTCGATTTCCTCCTGATCGTCCTGCGGGAGGCGAGAACAGGCTCATCACAGGTGTGCTTACAAGGTGGGGGGGGTTCACAGTGCACTCATGGGGGGAAAAGGGGAATTCACCCCAATCCCTCAACCAGCATCGCTTCCCTCCACACCGGATGGCGGCAGCTTTCGGAGGCTGCAACCTCTGCTTTGCAGAGGCCTCCCGCCCGTCCCGGGCATCGCTTCCGCTCGCACCGCTGCGGTTTTCCGGCCGGCACTCGCAGCGCACCTCCCTCCTCCCTCCCTCCTCCTCCCTGTCGCCATCCAGCTGCAGCTGGGGCTGGCACCCGGCCACCCACGGCGGGCTCCCGTGCCGGGCCCGGGAACGCAGAGGAGCCTGCGCCGGGAGCGCGGGGCTCTGGCCGGGGCAGGGGCACGGCCAGTGCCACAGTGCCGAGGCGGCCATGCCGGAGCGCGCCGGCCTCGCCGTCACGCTCCTTTTGCGAGCCATCCCCACAGCCCACGCAGGAAGGTGCCCGGTCCCTGGTGTGGGATGGAATGCCCCGCCCGTGTCAGATCTGGGCAGGGGGAAGCCCCCACTCGTGCCCCCCACTAACCTGCCCGTGGTCTCCTTGAAGGGGAGCTGTGTCCCACCCAGCAGAGATGTGCTGCTGCCGCTGGTCGTGGCATCTTCGTCCCCGGGATAATAGCGGCTGGTGACAAGGCGCTGGCTGCGGCGGGACATGGCGGCGGCAGGAGGGGAGCTCGGCTCACCTGGGGGCGGGGAGAGGGCGGGCGGGAGAGGCAAGTGTCAGTGCCAGGGTCCCGGAGGGACGCACCCGGCGGGATCCCACTGGCGGGGACCCCGCCCCTGAGGCAGGGGACCCGGCCCACACCGAACGCCGTCCCGAGCTGTGGGGTGTCCCGGGATGGAGCCGCCCCCGTACAGGCCGAAAAACCCCCTCGCCTCCTTTCCCGCGCGTGGAGCGGCTGCCCCCGGCCCCTCGGCGCCCCCGGCCCCACACATTATCCCCCGAGGCCCAGTACGGGAGCCGGCCCGCCCGCAAGCCCCCGCCTCTGCCCCGGCGTTCCCCTCGCAAACGCACCGCCAGTGCCGCGCAGCGGGGAACGATCCGCTCCGTCCTTCCCGGCCGCTCTCGCCGCCGCCGCCGCCGCTCCCTTTTGTTTTGCGGGGGAAGGCGGCACCCGCCTCCCGCCCTCCCCCCGGACACCCCCTCCGCCGCCCCGCCCCGCCCGCCGCCGAGAGGGGAGCAGCCACCGCTCCCCCGGCCTCTGGGGACCTCTTCTTTATCATCATCGCTATTGCTATTTATTATTATCACCGCCACAGGCATATTCTTTTAATTTCATTTATTTTCATCATTTGTGGGGGGCGATGATGAGGGCCCATCCGCACTCTGCTGCCCACTGGGACCTGGTCCCCAAACACCTCAGCCCTGGGTCTCCTCCGCCGTGCCCAGCCCACGCTGCCAGCCAAGGGCGTGGGTGATGCCAGCCCAAAATGGGAGCTCCCGGGTGCAGGGCTGCACCCCAGCCCCGTTTGGGCTTTTCTGGGGTGGCTGCTTTGCTGGTGCCGGTGGGGTGAGAAATCCCCGCACCCCACGCACCACCCGTCCCGGTACACGGCCGAACCTATCCCTGGGGCATGGGCAGCCCCGCTCGATACCCGTGTGCCCCGGCCGCCCCGACTGGGCGGGCGTGCTCTGCTGCTCCCCGGGCCGCAGACACCCCGCTGCCGCCGCTCTGCCCCACGGGCGGCTGGGCAGCCTCGTCAGCGGCGTGCGAGCCAAACCGGGCTGCTCCCATGGGACCTTGAACGGACCTTGTGCAAACTCAGCCGGCTGGAAAAAACAGCCCCCCCTCCCCAGACACCTCGCGTTTCAAATCTGACGGCGCCTCGGAAAAAGATTTGCCTTGGGGAGCTCTGAGAGTCGGGGCAACTGGCCACCTGTGTGTGGACGCGGATGTTCAGACTATTTCTGTGGGCAGGAATGGTCCCCCCTGGGCTTGGATATGGAGCATAAAGGTATTTATAGAAAGAGTTAAAAAACTACGAAGCTGGCAGAAGGGAAGTAACCTATTGCAAAACAACCCTGAAACCTTTTCCTCCGTGTGCTGAGCTTTGGGGCACCAGCTAGGGCAGTGGCAGGAGGACGTGCTGTCAGCACTGGGGGGGCACACCGCAACAAACCCCGATTCAGAGTCCCTGGCCCCGTTGTGTAACGCAGACAGATCCTCTTTGTCTCCCTTTTCTTTTTTTTCCCCTGCCTTTTGAGCCCATTTTTTGTTCCTGCCAAAATCTCTGCCTAGCTTTTCCAGCTCCATCTCCCACTGTGCCAGCTGCCCTTTTTCACCCTCTCCCGTGGCTTCCCATCCCTTTGCAAGTGTCTGGCTGGGACAGAGGACATCTCTCCTCCCCAGTGCCACCTTTATCTCTGGCCATGCAGATGGCAATGCCGTGTCCCAACCTGGGAACGCTGGCAGTGGCTGTCACAACGGCGCCTGCTGCAGCTGACGTAACCTGGCGTGGATTAACCCCCCAGGAGGCTCAGGGGATAAGCTGGGTGCTGAGCCACCAGGCACTAAGTAGGGTGCACAGCCCCAGGTCAACCCATGCCCTCCTCAGGAGCCACTTTTTTGGGTGTGAAGGGAGTCGGTGGCGGTTCCTGGGGGATTTGGGAAGATCTTCTCAGGGGAGTGGGGTTTGTCCTTGCTGCATCCCTGGTCTTGTGGAGGAGGTGGTGATGTCAGAGCCATGGCAGTTTTTGAGTGGGTGTGGGAAGACTGGGGCAAAGATAAGTGGTGTGTAGCTGGGAGCTTCTGTCTCATTTTCCCCACAGCATCAGCGGGGAGTGTCAGCTCTCTTTTTGGGGGTTACCAGGGCATCACTGTGCTGGGGGTGGGGCAGAAGGGGTGGGGCCAGCTGTTCCAGTTTGGCAGTTCTTGCTGGGGAAATGCAGCAAAAATCCCTACTCTTTCCTAAAAGGCTTTGGAGGGCTGAAGTGACACGTCCAGGCATGCAAGGACAGGCCAGGGCTGGGAAAGCAGCCTCGGTGGGGAAGATCACAGCCCGTGTCTTCTCCACTAGGCCAACCTTTTTATTTAAATTCCCTCCCTGTCCCACCTATCCTTACAACCTGCTTTCCTGGTTCATCACGCCACCACCTCCAGCACCACCAAAAGCTGAGGCTGCACAGAATCAGAGCTGCACATCGATCCCCACATCGCCCTGGGCAGCACACCACAACAGCCCAATCCAGCACAGTATCCAGCCCCCGTCACATCCACGACCCCACATCATCCACCAGCACCTTTTCTTGGTGGGCTGCCCTGGCCAGGCAGTGTCGCACGGCCAGCAGCACCTTCCCCAGGCGCCGGTCCAGCGCCTGCAGGTGGGGCTCAGCCAGGACGGGGGCCAGCGGGTCGGCGGCCAGCGCCTCCCGCAGCACGTCACTCAGCCGGTAGGGCTCGGTGGCCAGCAGCTGCAGCCGCAGGTAAGTCGACTTCTTGATGCTGCCGGAGATGAGGAGGGAGAGCTCTCAACAGGAGGAGCCCCTCCCCAGCAGCAGATCCGGGCTGGGGGCAGCCCCTTACCTGCAGCATTGCTGGAGAGGGGCCAGGATGGACGGTTCATCGCGGGAGTGTGTGCCGAAGCTGGGCGGGGGGAGAAGCCCATAAGGATGTGTCAGGGTGGCATTTTGGCAAGACTGGAGGTCTCCCCCACCCCTTTGCTGTGATTGCTCCCCCCTACTCCCCAGCTTTACCCGCGACCGTTGTCCAGGTGGAGCAGGAAAGTGTCATTCCCAAATTTCTCAAAGGTCTCATAGTGGTGCCGGTCCATGTTGCCTGTGGCAGGGCAACAAATTTGGCATCAGGTTGTGTGCTGGAAGATGGGAGCAAAGACACGGAACACTCCTCTGGTGTGAGAGTGAAACCCAGAGCCCAGGGAAAAGGGTTGGAGGCACCTCTAACTTGTCCATCTGGTGGCCATGGCCGTGCAGGGGAGATGAGCAGAGACCCCACGGCCTCCCCTTCTCATCCCAGCAGCCCCACAGAGGGACAACAGTGGCAAATGGAGCAGAAGTAATGGCAAAGGCATGGCTGGGTGGTCAGGAATGAGGAGATGGGAAACTCTCCCAGTCAGATGCTGGTGAGGGGACAGCACAGGGAGGAAGAAACGGCCCAGGGACAGGAGAAGTGGCAAGAGCCTTGGGCAGCATCATCTCCACCTCTGGCTCTCCAGGGACTGCATGTGAGAGCATCTTGGAAGGTGCTTCTCATGTCCAGGGTATTCAGCTGGAATCTCCCTGGAGTCTCTTGACCTTCAATTTCTGCCTGGGAAATGCCCTAGTGGCACAGCCCTGTGCTCTCGTTGTGAGTGACACTGCAGCTCACTGCAGCCTGGCCAAAAAATCTCGCAGGGCACAGTACCACGGGACACAGAGCCATTTGGGCCTCTAGGTCCTGAGGGACCTCCAGAGCCCTCAGCAGAGGCACAGAGGGGCTCACCCATGAGGAAATCGAGGATTGCCATGTCGATGAGGTCGAGGAGGCGATGGCCCCTGTCATAGGGCGGCGTCTCTCGCACCTGAGCGCAGTAGTTGGGGTTCAGCTCCCACCTGGTGGCAGAGGCCAGGGAGGGCAATGGGGCCATGACAGTGGCTGTGGAGAAGCCCCGTCCCACCCATGGCTCTGCTGGCCCACGTCCCCACACCCCCCATGCCCCATCTCACTCAGCCTTCTTGCTCTTGTGGTAGGAGCGGCGCCAGGGGCTGCGCCAGGAGCGGCGCTTGGCTAGGGTCTTGTCGGGGAGCAGGGCAGCCATGGAGCCCTCCAGCCAGTCCGGTTTGCCGCAGAGGGCGTGCTCCGTGGAGCAGTAGTAGGAGCACTCCCCGTAGAAGCAGACGTTTCCCGCTGGCCAGGGGACAAAACAAAGGTTGACAAAGAGGAGGAAGGCACCCCTGGGCAGAGCGGTCCAGCAAACAGCCAGGGAAGGATGCTCCGTGCACTCTGGCCATGTGCCACCAGCAAAGCAATGGCAAGGGAGGCTGTGAGGAGCAAAGGCCTCTGGCAGGGCACCTGTGGGAGCTGGAACAGTCTCCAGTAGGATAATTTGTCTGAGTGCCGGGGAGCCAGGGCAGCAGCAGCCAGCACCAGGTGAGCTCCATCCAGGTGGCCACAGGAGAGGACAGAGAGCATGAAAGCTCACCTGGGGAGATGAAGAAAGTCTTGGCCAGTTTCTTGTCTGTGGTGATATCCTGAATTTCCTTTGTTATGTTGACCAAACGGCCAGAAACCGGGGGGATTCGCCGGAAATCCAGAATCCTGAAACACAGAACTTGGAACTATTTCTTACTGACCTCAGCTGGTTCAATAACAGCAAGTTACTAAAACTGACAGGAGACACAGGTGTCCCTCACACCCGAGGATCAAGAGGTGGGATGAAGGAGGAGTTTCTCTGGAGGCTTGGATGCAAAGCTTATGCTCACCTGTCCAGGTGGAAGGCTGCAATCTCTGCATTGTGCCGCTCAAAGTCTGAGAAGTAGAAGAAATCAATGGGGGTCTCCTGGTCCCGGGTCTGCCTGGAAAGAGAGGGGACAGTGGGGGCAATCATCATGGGTGGGGTCACTCCAAGCATGGGATTAGTTCCAAACCACCTTGTGTTCCCTTGTGACACTGGAGACACAGCCAAACCCAGTCTCCTCCAGTCATTTCCTGATGGGTGGGTGGCTCCAAGCCCCCTATCCAGGCTCCCAACTCAAGGGGTGGGGAAGCCCTCACAGACTGGAGGCTCCTGGATGGTCCTCATGGACCACCTTCTTCTTTCCACCACTGGAGGTCACTACCCCATCACAAGCTGCATCCAGTTTGCAGCAAGCTCCGCCAGGGAAGGCAAGGGAAACGGGACCATTCTGCTCGCCTCAGTTTTGGGACGGAGGTGCTGAAGCGAGGCAGCACATGAAGCATTTCTCCATTTCTCCCTCCATGGTCCCTTCTGACCACTTCTCGCTACCTAACAGGACCGTGTGGGCGCGGTATAGGGTTGTCCCAGGCTCTACTCACTTCATGGGCTTGAAGAGGGCCTGCCCATAGTTTGGGAACGTCATGATGAGCTTGAGCTGGGTCCCGCCGGACTTCTGGACTGGAAGGAGGCACACGGGGGTGAGGGAGCGGGCAGCAGGCAGGGGGCAGGGGCGGGCAGGGGTGGGGCAGGTGCAGGTGCAGAGGTGGTACCTGAGCTGACGATCCTCTGCGTGGCCAGATCCCGGAGCAGAGCGGGCAGCAAGGGGTCCCGGCGGGGGTACAGCTCATAGCGGTTGATGCCGATGTGGAATTTGAGCCACGTGGGGTAGGTGTCGTAGGCTGTCTTCCCTGTCGGGAGGAGCGCCTCGGCTTTACTGCTGCTGACCCTGCAGCCCGACAGCCACCACCAGCCCAACAACAATGACAGTTTTAGTTGGGACAGGATGGCTCCCATGTCCCCGGGCCCTTCCTGGGAGCCAGTACAGGGAGAGTGAGGTGGGGAGAAAGGCCAGAGCAAGCCCTGGATTGGTTCCAGGTTTCATGGTGGCAGAACCTCCTGCCCCATATGGCCTTCATGGGGCACTTGGCATCTGGTAGATCCCACCCAAAGTTGGTGGCCAGCAAGAACCACCAGCATGGCTGGATTGGACACAGTGTCTTCCCTCCATCCCCCATGGAAAATCCCTGGGTTGATCCTGTTTCCTTCATCCATGCATTTATTTCCCTAGTGGGACAGATCATCTCATTGTTTTTCCCTAAGGGATTGGCTCCCAGGAGTACAGTCTGCTACATTCCTTCATGTGCTTCCTGGGGACACATGTGTGTACGCTGAACAGGGGTGGAGAAGCATGGGCTTCCCAGCCATCCCCAGCACTGACCCGAACTCCCATCCTCAACAGCCCATTCCCCTTTGGTGGGTTTCCCCAGGGGGATACGTTTGGGTTAGCACTATCCCTGCCTCTGTGCATCCTGGAAATTTGCAGTTTGCTGGCATTCAAGGGAGCCCCGGGGGGTGTCTGCCCCATCTCTGTGCTAGCACACACTGGCACTCAATGGGACAGCTAGCCCAAGGTATCTATAACCCAAATCCATGTTTCTCTCTAGGGAAACACAGACTGTGCACTGATTTCATCAAACCAGACCCAAGGCGGTCCTCGGAGATAAGGCAAATGCCCATTTCTGGAAACCAGCTCTTAAGCCAGCTTTTATTCTCTCCCAGTTCTAGCAGGCACCACTTTTGGAAGGTGTGCTTTCTGTAAGGAAGCTATGTGTTACTATGCTAAAGCTTTTAATATCTTCCCTTCTAATTAGAGGTTAGTAGTCCAAAGATAAAAATAGACAGCTGTCGGCAGTGAGCTCACCATATGGCCGAGCCTAACAAGGTCAGGTAATATCCTGCAAAATGCAGGACAGGAATGGTCTCATGGTTGGAGATAATCTAAATTGCAAGCTTTGCATCTCCAATATCCCAAGAGAGGAGGATAAAACTTGTTAGAAATCTGGAGTGGGGCCTTCCTCGTATACAAAGAGAGATACTAAGGACTAGTCTGCATTGGGGAAGGGAAGGAGCTGAGAGATTACCTAAGAGATATCCGTAATGCAATGAATAATTCAAGAGTCTCCTTCAGCTTTGCTGTGTGCTACAAGCTTATGGGTAGTAGCCCAAAAAATCAGGGCTAGGAGAGGATTTGAGATATGAGAAGAGCATGCACAGTAAGGGGGGCCTCTCTAGGGTAGGAAGTAAGTTGATCTACAGAAGGGAACTACTTTGGTAGTTTGGTCCCTGCTGCTTGTTCCCTGAAACCCACATATCCCCCAAATGCAAGCTAGGGCTGAGTTTGCTCCTCACCATTCGTCACTCCCACTGCTGTGCAGGCTGAACCTCTCCATGGGGTTGACGACAAACAGCTTGTCCTTCTCTGTCACCTCTGGGACTGGGATGTTGTAAAGAGGATGCTCGAAGAGTGCTGCCAGCTTTGATCCCTTGGACCACCCTGCATTCGCCTCTCCATGCTGCTGGACCCCTGGCTCTCCAGCCCTTGCGTGCAGCCCCGCTCTCTCTGGCTGGGAACTTTTCTCCAAGGAGCCGTTGCTTCCGCTGAAATCCTGAAGGATCCGCAGGCTCAGCTTTTTGAGGCCCGCCGGCATGGGGCTGCCTGACGGGACACCCACAGCTTTTGATGCTTTAGTATTGCAGCCACAGGACCTGTGGGTTGTGGGGAGAGCAAAATCCACCAGCAGGTGCACGAGAAGGGCCGAGAACAGAAGAAAGAGAAAGCTGATTTTAAGTTTCCTCTGGAGAAACATTTGCAGCCGCCACCGCATCCTTCCTCACACAAAACACTCAGCAAGGATGGACACAAACACAAGGTTAAAAATGTTGGTGTGGCTGCAGCCTCTGTGCAAAAATAGGAGAGAGGTTTCTTGGATTCAGAGCATCCCAACAAAAGACCAACTGGTGCATGGGCAGAGTGGCAGGAAAGGTCTGTCACCACGGCACCTCACAGTGTGACACCACCAGGATGGGACAGGAGGTTGTGGCAGAGTTTATCAGTGCTGATAAGGGTCGAGCTGGCACTGCCAAGGTTAGAGTGAATGGGGCAAGTTCCAAATCAATAGCTGCAATGCTGGCTCAGGGACAGCAATGGCTGCAGATGACTCCCCACTGTCCTGTCTTTCTGTGCTGTCACCTGTACAGGGCTGCAGAACATTTCTTTGAATACAGGGCATTAAAACGGTTCTGTCCCTCTGCAGCACACACCCTGCCAAGCACTATGTAGTCCCATTCTCTATGTTCATCACAACTGCACTCTCAGAATACAGAATTTTTTTCCCATTGCTTGGCCATATCAATTTTATCACCCTCCCTCATCCTTTGAAAATCAGTTGTACTCAAGCCCCCTTTCAAAACTCACTCAAACTGGATGAAATGGAGGGGATGTGAGTATCAACATTGCTGCAAGGGGAAATGCTGGGCTGGCAGTGTAAGGAAGGGCTGCCAGGTGAGTTTCAGAGGCAAGGATGTTCCCAGGGCCTCTAAAGCAGGCAGGGGAGGCAGACAAGTAGGAGTGAGGATACTGCTTTGGGCGTTGGCACAGAGGGGCAGTGGGACCCACCAAGTGTTGGGGAGGACTGGCAGCTCGTGGAAGGGAAGAGCATTTCTTTTTACGAGAAATTCACTTTTGCAGAGACACCCAGGGACACAGAGCTGGTGCACAAAAATGGTTCATGACTTTGATAAGGGACAGACAAGCACGGGACCACCTGCAATAAGTCTGGGGGCTGTGGTGCAGTCTGGCACAATGTTTATTTTCTCTTTGCTCTTGCAAAAGATGCAGAAGGCATGTGAAATCCCGTACATCATGTAAATCTTCCTTGTCGCGAGATGCACCAGCAGCCAGCTTGGAAATGCTCGCTCCCAGCCAGGGAGGGTACGATGATCAGGGGGCTATTCTGGAGACCCCCTGCTCTGCTGCGCTGCCTGCGCTGCCCTCTCCGCACGGTGCCGTGCCGGCCCGCTCCCAGGCGGCGCGCCGGGAACGCGCTGTCCCCGGTGTTCCCGGCTCGCGTGTCCCACGGCGCGACAGTTGCCTGGAAACCGCCTCCGGCTGACACCATCGCCGCCCCAGATTCAGCCAGCCCCGCGCTCCCCTGCCTTCTGCTGGCAGCATGGCCGGGGAGAGCCGGGGCAAGCGAGGAGGAGGAGAGCCTTCCAGCCCGGCTGGCGAGCTCGAAGCCCCGCAGAAGGAGCTGGTGGAGGGGAGCAGATGGCTTCCCTGCGTGGAGGAACACAGCGTCCTGCTCCGGGAAGTTTGCTGGATTCAGTCCGGACATACGTTTCAGACAGAAGGCCCCTAGGAGGGGCTGTAGCTGGAACATGGGATCATTAGGTCATGGCTCAGAAAAACAGCAACCAACCAACCAAAACACCAACTCCCTGTACTAACTGATCGCATCAAAGGAGCTGGGCTCGGCTCCCGGAGCAGGGCCACAGGTTTCATTAATCCAGAGCCAGCCCTGAAGAGAAGGGCGCTCCTCATTCCAGTGCCCCAAACCAGCTCCAAACGGGGCTGGAGGGGACAGAAACGTCCTTCTCATGTCCTGGAGTCAGATGAGCCTAGGGATCCTGTGGGCTGAAGCCACCCTACTGACTGTTAGTCCCATTCCCAGATAATGAAACTTGCAATCCTGCCTCCTCACCCTGATTTAGCATCCCATTGCAAAGCAAAGGCAGGGGGCTTAGGTGAAGCATTTGCCACCCTTCGCACTTGAATGCTGGCATTAAATATTAACCGAAAGATTTTTCAGCGAGTCAGACGTGAGCATGCAGCAACGGAGAAGGGCTGGAGACCTTCAAAGTCTGCCCTGATCACCTGACTTGTTGCCATGACATCATCATAGAGACAGGGCTGAATTTGCACCTCTTCTCATCTCCCCCCTCCAGCTCTTCCTCCATCTTCCCAGCAGGTTCAAGTCACCCTTGGGGCAGAGGAGGAGCCCTACATGCGAGGACATTTTCACTGCTGGCTCCAAATCGGGACTCATCGGCAGCTGATAATGATGTTCCCATCTCCCCTCAGCAGGGAGGGATGAAGTCATGAGGCACAGCCTCTGAGCCGCTATCACAGCTTTAGGGGACGGCTGGATAGAAAGAGTCATTTTGGCTGCCACCCATCCATCACCCTGCGTTTTCCATCTCATTTTCCACATCTGACTCAGCCTGATGCTTTGACAGGAAATGGCAGCAATATGCAGGGGGGCAAGAAACGAGAGGGAAACAATAGCAAGCAAACTGTTGCCAACTTTCCCAGCTTTCCACTGAAAATCCATAAGGAAAAAATCCTCCAGCAACTGAGAGCAGTTTTATAGTAAAAAGTAGAGAGGCCTTAGAGGCTCCAAAGCCTCATAGAATCATAGTTTGGGTTGGAAGGGACCTTTAGAGGTCACCCAGTCCAAAGTCCTTACAATGACCAGGGGCACCTTGAACTAGATTGTATTGCTCAGAGCCTCATCCAACCTGAAAGCTTCCAGGGGCTGGGCACCCATCACCTCTCTAGGCAACCTGTTCCAGTGTTTCATCACCCCCATTCTAAAAGACTTCTTCCCTTCCCTATATCCAATCCAGAACAAACTTCTTTTAGTTTACAACCTCTAAACCTTGTCCTATCACAACAGGCCCTGCCAAAAAGTCCCTCTCCAGCTTTCCTGTTGACATCCTTTAGGTCCTGGTATAAGGGCTCTCCAGAGCCTTCTCCAGGCTGAACAACTCCAACCCTCTCAGCCTGTCTTCATCACAAAGGTTCTTCAGCCCCCTGATCATCTTTGTGGCCTCCTTTGGACTGGATCCAGCAGGTTCATCAGCCACAGAGGGGGCTCTTGTGGGAAAACACAGGACAAGATTCCATCTCTGATCCATAAACCTTACTCCCATGAAAATTACAGGTATGCCCAAAGATGTTCCAGCTCCACAACAAAAAGAGGGCGAAAGTCTTTTTTCTAACACACATTTTTTACCTAGGGCCAGCAAAGCATGGTTCAATGTGCAACAGGCAGGACAATGGATCTGATTGAACACTTGCCTCAGGGCTGGGGCTCTGACACACAGCCACATTTTGGGAGGCTGAGGCTTGTGCTTTCAGGTACAATGCCAATGACAAGAATGCAAATCAGCTAACAAGGGTTTGCCTCAAGGTGACTTCCTGTAGGAAAGCTGTTACCTTTATGAATAAAAATAGCCTGCCGCTCTGCTGTGAGCCACCTTGCACTTACCTGGTGAGAATGGCAGTGTGGGAGCTGACTTGCTGTACATTCACACCTAGCTCACTTCAATCTGTTTGCACACTCAGGCTTTGAGAAGGCTGGGGAGCACTCACCCCTCCCTTGTTGCCAATGCAGGTCACGGAGACATCAGCTTTGATCAGCTGGTGGCCAAGAAGATAAACAGGCAGCAAGTCCAAGAGACTGTGTGCTGATGTCAGCAGCTCCCTGTGGTCATCTGCAGGTCACCACGACCCTGCAGAGATGCCCATGACCAGTGTGCCTGTGCATATGCACAGAGCAGTTAATTATTCATTAGCGTGAAAGAGGCACAATTAAAGTGACCGTGGTATGGCTGAAGGGATCATCCCACTCCAGCATGGGGCATTTCAAAGACTTTACCTGTTGATCTGGATTTAGAAGAGACAGAAAGTTGCAGAAGAGGAAATAACCTTTTCCACCTGCCAGCTGTAGGAAGTGTTGTCAATAGCACTATCTTCACATAAAAGCAGCCAGCTGGAGAGACACAGAGCAACTGCACGATGAGACAGCTGAGAGGATTTGGGCTCTCACACAGCACAGCAATCCTGATCATGGGGCAGGAATCATGGTACCAACCTACCCTGGCCCAGCCAGGTCCAGATGGTCCAAATTTGAAATAATTCTTAGTTGTCTTCATATTACTCCAGTTCCTAACTCCCTGACACAATGAAATTGAGAAAGGACATCTCTAGCATAACACTTGAGGTTCAGAAAAAAGAACAAAAGGAATTTTAAGACCAGGTTGATCGACCACAGCATTAATGCAGAAAGATCCTTCAGACTTAACTATGGACTAGAGATGTCAGCTGGCAACATTCCGAGGGGAAATCTGAAAATTAAGGAAGCTACAAATATGAGACTCCACAGGTCAGAGTTGAGGCAGCAGACACAGTTACATTCCCTTGCCGCCACTGCTTAGACAGCTGCCTGTCAAACAGGACAGAGGGACACGGCCAGCAGCACCACGGGGCTGGCAACCCTCCTCACCATGGTGGCTTGCACTGCTAAAAGGAACTGAACAGGGAGGATGAGAGTCACGCAGGAAACCAGCAGGATGGAACTCTGTCGCTGGCCTCTGCCTGTGCCACACCATGGCTTACTCATTTCCACGTTACTTGAACTACTTTGCCTACAGAAACGCACGCAAAGACATTTTACTAAACTTTTATTGTAAAAACACAGTTCCCCAGGTTTTATAAATACGCCACACATGTAACATAGTTACGCTCATTCGATCCTCCAACACCAACAGCTTCCAAAAATGAAACAGGCTAAAAGAATGCAAGTCCAGAAAGACATTAGGCTTCTGATGACCAAGTTATATTTCACATGGAGCCTCCTTTCTCTGTCAGCCTCCAAACAAGATGCTGAAAGTACACAGCACTTGCAACGCCCCCAGGAACTGACAGGGAGGCATCTGAGCCTTAAAAAGAGCTCTCACCCACTCCCCAGGCATCGTCAGCCGCCTGTGTTTTCATGCTGTCTCAGTTGCTGTGGGTGAGAAAGGAGGGGGCAGTTTGCATAGC